GCAAACCCCTCCAGTGCATGCTGTAGGTCTTGAACTGATGAAGCCAACAGAACCACATCATCCACAAAAAGCTGAGATGAGATTCTGCGGGTACCAAAACAGACACCCTCCGTTCCCTGGCTACGCCTAGAAATTCTGTCCATAAAAATAATATACACAATTGGTGACAAAGGGCAGCCTTGGCGGAGTCTAACATGCACCGGAAACAAGTCTGACTTACTGCTGGCAATGCAAATCAAGCTCCTACACCAGTCATACAGGGAACGAACAGCCCGTAACCCCATAATCCTGAAGTACCATGAGGGACATGGTCGAATGCCTTCTCCAGATCCAGAAAACACATGTAGACTGGTTGGGCAAACTCCCATGAACCCTCCAACATCCTAGTGAGGGTATAGAGCTGGTCCAGTTTTCCACGGCCGGGGCAAAAACCACACTGTTCCTCCTGAATCCAAGGTTCGACTTTTGGCCTTATTCTCCTCTCCAGTACCCTGGCATAGACTTTCCCGGGGAGGCTAAGAAGTGTGATCACCCTATAGTTGGAACACACTCTCTGGTTCCCCTTTTTAAGAAGGGGGACCAACATCCTGGTCTGCCAATCCAGAGCCACCATCCCCAAACTCCACGCAGTGGTGCAGAGGTGTGTCAGCCAAGACAGCCCCACAACATTCATAGACTTGAGAAACTCGGAGCGGACCTCATCCACCCCCAGAGCCTTGCCACCAAGGAGTTCCTTAGCTACCTCAGCAACTTCAGCCAGGGTAATGGACAAGTCCCCTTCCAAGTCCCCAGCCCTGGCTTCCTTTACAGAAGGTGTGTTAGAGGGATTGAGGAGATCTTCAAAGTACTCCTTCCACCAGCCGATGACATCCTCAGTTGAGGTCAGCAACACACCACCTCCACTGTAAACAGTGTTGGCAGAACACTGCTTTCCCTCCTGAGCCACCGAAGGGTTCTCCAGAATCTCTTTGAAACCAACCGAAAGTCTTCCTTTATGGCCTCACCGAACTCCTCCCAGGCCTGTGTTTTTGCCATGGTGACTGCCAGAGTTGTGTCCCACTTGACCTGTCGAGACCTTCCAGCTGCTTCAGGAGTCCCATGATCCAACCAGGCTGAATAGAGCTCCCTCTTCAGCTTGACAGTATCCCTTACTTGCGGTGTCCACCACTGTGTTTGGGGATTGCCGCCGCAACAGGCACCGGAGACCTTACGGCCACAGCTCCCAGCAGCCGCCCTGACAATGGAGCTGTGGAACATAGTCCATTCGGACTCAATGTCCCCAGTCTCCCTTGGCACCTGTTTGAAGCTCTGTCGGAGGTGGGAGTTCTGTCATCTGTGTAAAAAAGACTACACAACATCACTGGAAATCATCCTCCTTTGTTGTGGAGAACCATCAAATGGCAGATAACCTGAATATGATTTACTTCAGGTTTGTGAATCAAAATTTCACACCCCTTACCCACACCACCTTAGACATGCCGCCAGCCACTGCTCCCTGTTCAAACAACCCCACCCTTCCCCCTGGATCCCCACTCCCAACAATATGAAAAAAAGATGTATGTGACATCTCTGTGAAGATCAGGAAGGCACCAGCCCCAAAAGGTGTGACTCCCTCCTGTCTGAAACCTTGTGGTGATCAGCTGGCCCCCATCTTCATACATATCTTCAACATATCACTGGAGCTCTGTGAAGTTCCTTCCTGCTTCAAGCACTCAACCATCATCCAAGTTCCCAAGAAACCCTCCATCAGTGGACTGAATGACTAGAGACCTGTCGCCTTGGCATCTTTGGTAATGAAGACCTTTAGAATGGTGTTTACCCACCTAAAGGACATCACAGATCTACTGCTGGATCCCTTGCAGTTTGCCTACTAGGCAAATGGGTCATTGGATGATGCAGTCAACATGGCACTGTATAACATCCTGCAATACACTGCGGGCCCAGGAACCTATGTAGGAATCCTCTTTGTAGACTTTAGCCCTGCATCCTCCACTCTAAACTGACCTCGCTCACTGTGCCTGCCCACACCTCAGCAAAACACAAGAAGTCAGAGTTAACCCAGTTGATGAGAAGCAGTTCATCCATTTTTTTTGGCTGGAGAGTGGAGATTTGCTAGATTCGTACGGTTTCCCTACTGGCTTAACTTAACCAGGGTACCTGAACACTTTCCCCTCCTGTGTCTTCTCCAGGTCCCAAAGATAGCTGCTGCTCTGCCAACTAAAATGCCAGCACAATGTTTCTTGCCCATAAAAAAGGGAGAACGTGTGTTTGGAGTGAGCTGTCATGTTAAAGAGATGGTCTCTGATTAAAGTAATACAAGATTTATTGCAGAAAACTCACAAAAAAGACAATAACACAAGAGAGCACACAACCCTACAGTATTTTAGGTTAAAGTAACGATACCACATTATAAGAATGCTGAAGTTATGATTTCAAAATGTTACTTGCCTACAACCTTGGGGGGGCGGCTGTGGCTCAGGAGGTATAGTGGGTCATTTCCTAACCGAAAGATTAGCGGTTCAATTCCCAGCTTGTCTAGTCAACATGTCGAAGTGTCCATGAGCAAAACACTGAACCCACAGTCACTCCTGGTGATAACACCAGTGTGGGTGAATGGCCAAGTAGTGTGAAAGTGCTTTGAGTGTGCTGTAAAATGTAGAAAAGCGCTATAGAAATATAAGACTATTTAACCATATTAGCATTTTAAAAAATTGAAGTACTGTAGTTAGGCTAAAAGTGCTCATTAAGCCTTAAAGGTTATTGGATTGTAATTAATATCATGTAACTATTTCAAATGTTGCAGCTAAGGTGGAGATATAATTTAATTGATATAATTTACTTGACAATGTCGTATATTTTAGCTAAGACATTTCACTTGCACATGGATATTATTTACAAGACATGCAAAATGAATAGCAATCCAGTGAACTCCGGGTTAATAGACCATCCACTAATCCCCTTAACAGACATCAGTCAATCAAAAAATGAAGAGAAATTATATTTATATTTAATGTTTTGTTTTTCATGGATGGACAGGTTTACTGTGCTTCGAATTACAGCATTAAATGAAAACTATTTCAACAACTTTCTGGTTGAAAGTCAGGTATATTGATTTTATAAATTATAATAATACTATTTTAATTAATTTAAACTTTTGTGAGGGGCTGCGACTGTATAATGGACCTCAGTTAGCTGCTGCACTGGGGTACAGACCTCATGATCTGGCAACATTACCAGTAACATTTATGCACCAAAAAGGGCACCCTTGAGCCAACACACAGACCATACAGCTATTGCAAATTATGACAGCAGTAGCAAGTGGAATTACACACTGTTACACAGCAAAAAAAAAAAAGCATTTGATATTTGATTGCAGTGTAAGTGCCCATATAGTATTTTTCTGTTCAGCAATGGAGAAAAAAACCCAATCAATTTATCACTTGTGGGAAAAAAAACAAATTTGGAGACCTTCTGTAAAAAATTAGACCACATGTGGTTTGTACCAGCAGGTTAATACAACCAACAGTAACATGTTATAATTAGGTTCCCTGTAGTGACCTTTGTAAATATAACACAAGCAAAGGAGAAAGTTATGTAATGTAGCATACTGAACCACAGTGTCTACAGGGGAATACTGGGGTGGATGAATGGGTGGGCCTGACCCAACCAGCTCTTAAAGGCTGGCCTTTCTGGGACTGACAGGTCTGTAAGCATTTACTTCCACCTACAAACCAAAATAGTATACTTTACTTACTTATACAGTGGAACCTCGGTTTTCGTATGCCCCACTTTTCGTACGATTCGGTTTTCGACGACTTTTTTCATCGAAATTTTGTCCCAGTTTTCGTACATCCACTCGGTTTTCGTACTGTTGATTGGTCGGTTCAGCGTCATTAGTCCATACCAAACTCGTCCGCCTGCCCGTGTGACGCGGCCACTCATTTCCCGGAAGAAATGAGTGAAGGGAAGTAACCCCAGATAGGGCCTTAATACATGAAGTCCTTATGGAGGGGGATTCCCCTTCCAAACAATAACCTCTCCTCCTCCCTCTCCCTTCCTCGCTGTCTTCTATACGCCAAAAAGAGTCTTCAATTAAGGTAAAATTGATGTTAAATGTTCATTTATCCATTTCATTAGTCATTTATATTTATTTCTCATTGTTTTCTGTATGTAAAAATATAGTTATTCTCTATAAAATGTATTTTTTGTTAATATTTTTGGGTGTCTGAACAGATTAATTGGATTAACATTATTTCTTATGGGAAATATTGCTTTAGTTTTCGTACGATTCAGTTTTCGTCAGACTTTTTCGAATGCCACTATAGTATCATAAAAAGTCTGAAGATTTTTTACCAAGCCCTGTTTTCCCCTTTTAACACAGTAAAAATCTATTATATATTCAGTATTATTAAAGAATGAACAAGACCTTTGTGTAAAACATTTAAAATAGGAAATTTTGTCAAACTCAGAAACTATAAGAGAGTGAAAAAAGGTATGTCATGAGAATTTCTGGACCTAAAAACATGGTTGTGGACCATCTGCATTTTTAATGTGCTTACATTTTTATATATCTTTGCCAGCACGCTTTCATTAATGCTCTTCCCTCTGAAATATCTGCAGGGGCACAAACTTTGCACAAAGTGCTCAAAAAGTAAAGTCAGAGCTAAGCACTTTGCCAGTGCAGCCGAGAGACAGCACTGATCTCTTTTGGATGTCCGGATGGTGGGAGCTGGCCCAGTTGTCTTACTAGCTGTGTGCGAGCTCATCTAAACAAAAAAATAAGACTATTTTTCTCTAATCTCTGTGTTTTCCTCTGATATGAAGCATCGCTCACAGGTTGGTAAACCTGAATGCAGTGTATGCAGTTTGCTTAAATTCCAAATAGTAGCTGGCACTGCTATTTGGAGGTACCACATGTAAAGGTGTCTTTTAAGCTGCCCCCAAAATAGTCTGGAATGTTCTTTTGAGAAACTTTTTTAAAATCTCTTTCCTCTCCTCAGGCCACAGTTGGTCTAATCCGGAACCTGGCGCTGTGTCCGGCAAATCAGGTGCAACTGAGGGAAGCAGGTGCTATTCCACGACTGGTCAACCTGTTGCTGAAGGCTCACCAGGACACACAGAGGCATGCCTCCTCCTCACAGCAGACATACCAGGTCTGGAACATGAGTGATGTGGTTGCTTACTGATGTCACTGTTATGGTTGAATCCCCTCACCATGGAGGTGAGGGAGAACTGAGGTAGGACTCAAATTTTCAGACCCAGGTGCTAGTGGAAAAATGCAGGTTTAATGGAAAAAACAGAAAGTGACAACATAACAGAGTCAATGTACTGTACAGTATATACACAACCAGGGTTGACAGTGATGGCTGAGAAGACCAGGACGAACAGGTGAGTACACAGGAGAACGGCGGTCGTTGAGATGACAGGAGAGACACAGGAGAACACAAGATCGGGCAGGTGTAGCGCTCGCTGCTAGCACCCACGGCTAGCGCCACTGAAGCATATCAGCCCACAGTAAACTGTTAGCGCTGAAGACTTACTTCACTTGTGGAGAAAACTCATATTGCCAATGTCCAAAGAATAATCGACAGCACAGGGACTGTCAGCGTCGAAACTAATTTGGCGTAAGAAGTCCATTTAATGCTCTGGCGACGGCGGGGTGTCTGCCAGGGGTTTAAATGAGGAAGGAAACTGATTAGTCGCATGTGCCTTAGCTGTGCGCATCACCCAACGAGTTGCTGATTACCCAATGCGACACAGCTGAGGCGCCAATCCCACAGGACGAGAGAGAGAGAAAGGAGGAAGAGAGGCAGGTCTGCCGAGCGGACCTGACAGTCACTGAATGGTGACACCTCTATGCATGCTTGTCAAAAAGCAATTTTCTTGTTTCTTCTTCAGTAACTATGTATATAATACAAATATTGTCATTTGAAACATAAAAGTATAAGATTTTATATATAAAGTATAAGGTTTATAAAAGTAAAGGCAAGGTTCTTTAACAAAAACTATCACAATCATCACTTATTGTTTCCACCTGTTGCTTATTATCCACTGGTCTTCAGCCCATATAATCTCTTCCTTTCCTTCAGTCACTTGCTGGTTCATTATCTCCACTTGCCACACCATGCCTGTCTGAATTGTAAGTTTTTTGTATCAGTCACTCTTTTGTTTCTTGCCTTGGTTTCCTTTGGACTGTTCATTTGAGTGTTGGACTTTTCATGTCAGCAAGTATTCTTGGTTTGTTTTCTGGTTTTGGTTTTAGTTGTTAATTTAAGTTTGCCTAGTTATCCCTGATGGAACTGTTTTTGTTGTTGGTCTAGTTTTACTTTTGTAAAGTCTTATCAAGTGGAGTTCTTGAGTTTTTTTTCCCTACCCTCCATGTCCAGAGTCCTTATATTAAACCTGACTCTATATTATCCCTCAATCTGTGTCTCCTTTTTGGGTCCTATCCTACATGAGATCTAACAGAATGAACCAGTCAAGAAAGGACTCAGCGGACCTGCTGAGGCAGATAATAATAATGACTCTGGTTATTGAAGCATTAATTGACCGGTTTAGGCACGCCAACAACCCTTGGGAGAAACTAGAGGCTTGTGCCAGAATCAAGGATCTGTACCAGTGTCATCCCTGGCTTATGGAGTATCCAGAGACACAAAGGCTGGTGGCCCAGGTAATCTCTGCTGAGGCCAGGGTGAGACAGGACTGCGAGGACATAGTGTCCAGGTATATTCTGCCCCAGCCCTGTTAGACCAACCTGAGCCCAATGGAAGCCCAGTCAATTCAGTGACAACTCAAGGCTCAAATGGAGCATCCTCTTTCCCCTCATTGCTCAGTCAGTAAGGACAGGTTTGCATCCAAGATGCAGTTGGCCAACCCCTCCATCCATCTTGGAGTAGTGACCTTGTCGCCAGAGCCTGAGCTGAACCAAGATTCACCTGCTCCCCACCCTGAGACCTCACCATTCTGGGGAACTCGTCTTGCTGTGTGTCCGGAGGGGGTTAGAGAAGAGAAGAACCCAGAGGAAGGGTCACTCTCAAAAAACCCCTTCTGACAGCCTGCTCTGGAGCCATAGCACCAGCCTGCTCCAGAGACCCAGCCTCAGCCTGTACCAGAATCACACTCCATCTCCAGGAGGAGAGGTCGGAAATGGATCAAGCTACCCACTCAGCCCCAGGCCCCTAGGAAGCTGGTATTAATGTTCCCCCGATGCAGCTGTTCCCCGGTGTGCCGACAAGAGCCTCCCCACCGAAGCTCCGGTGCTTCAGTGCACCGATGAAGATGCCCCCGTCAAGGATTCAATTCACCAGAGTGCTGACAAGGAAACCTGTTCCAAGGCCTGTCAGCGAAAATATCCCAGCTGAAAAGGTTAACCTCTGATGTGCTGTTGAAAGTGTCCCTGCTGAGGCTCCATGCCTACAGCGTGCCAACAGAAACATCTCCACCAAGGTTCCAGCTATCTAGAATACCAATGCTGACATCCCTGGCCCTGTCCTCAAGCAGGTCAATGTCACTACCATCCCTGTTTTGGAGTGGGTCAATACTACCTCTGCACCTGGCACCACCACCTCTGCTCCTGAGTGGGTTGAGACCACATTTGTTCCCTTGCTGCCTCTGCTCCAGTTTGCCAGTGGGTCGGCTGGGATGCCAATGCCGCTTCTGACTCGGTTCCAGTGCGAGTTGGCTGGGACACTGCCTCTGACTCTGTTCCACTTAAGCTCCTGTTCCCAAGCAAGTCGGCTGGGATGCCGGCGCTGCCCCAGTCCCCGTATCAGAGCGGATCAGCAAGGACACTGATGCCACCATGAAGAAATGCATCATCATTTCTGGTGAAAGTCTGCTTGCGCTATATGGAGATTATGAGGATTCATGCACACTGCATCACATGGTCTCACTTCATTCTCTCATAATGAATTGTTGTATGGCAAGCACAATGTGAAATACAATAACACCAGTAATATCGCAGGAAAACATGTAAGTCCTATATCGTAAGACCATTACCCCAGTGCCTGCTGGGAAACCCCTGCTCCCAGGGGGAGATGTTTCTATAATAAATAAAGCCAGACGTACAAGAGAAGATGGATATAGAACAGGTGCTCATTCAGATCAATACCAGTTATCTTATTCATATGCAGGTTCTACATAAACATTTAGTATTTGCTCTACATGTATCAAATTAACCCGCTGATGTTAGAAATCAGTAGACAAAATGCAAACATACTGTATTTATCTTTATTTCTTTCATACTGTATTTTTCTTTTCGTTTATCTATATTATCAGGATGGTGTTCGTATGGAGGAAATTGTAGAGGGTTGCACAGGAGCTCTTCACATTCTGGCCAGAGACCCCATAAACAGAGGAGAAATTGCCAGTATGCAGACCATACCACTGTTTGTACAGGTATTCTTACATGCTCCAGCATGCATATGAAATGATTGCACAAACTACTGAAACAGCTTCTGTATGATACCATTTTTATGAAACTGAGCAGCCCTCTTGACTGTGCATTCATACACATTCAGACATGTTTCTGGGGTTCAGTGTCTTGGTCAAGTGCACTTTAGACTGGAGAAGCTTGGAATTGAATTGCTCTACCTCCTGAACTACATCCATAGCCGGTACTGAAACTGTTTGAAACTGAGGAGGTAGTACAAGATTGTTTCTCACTCTGGGCTTGATAAGAATCTTCTCCAATCACACCAAAGATATGGCCGACTCTGAGTCAAGTCAGAAGTCCAAAGTCTGTGGGTAGCTAAGGGTGTATAATAGGTTAATACTGTGTCCCTCTGAATTCCCATCCAACAGATGACTGTTGGATTTTGTGACCTTACATGCAAATAAATAAGAAAATTGAATCTAAATACAGGTATTATATATGCCCAAGGAAAACTGGAGGTAAAGTGCACACATGTCTCTTAGCATTATTAGTTATTTCATTAGGTACACTAAGCTAAAACTAATGCACTCTAATACAATGGTCCTGTGATAATTCCTTCTTCATAAAGATGATAATGTTCAGTTTTTGATCAAACTGTTTTTGAGACGTGCTGATTCAGAACACAGAGAAAAATATTATGTTGTCACAGTCATGCCTAGTGCAGATAAATTAAAGTCTGCAAGTAAGATAATCTGCATGTCTTTAGACATCTTAGGGAAACCCACATAGACAATGGGAAAACATGCAAACATCACTGAGCCTACACTACTGCATTTACTTAAAAATATTGAGAGCACACCAACTTGAGAGGTCTTTAAATAAAGAGATGTTTGCTTTGTTGTTGCCAAAGTTTTGCGACAATAAGCTAATTGGTTCTACCGAAACTCTTAAAATCACAGATTTATGTGTGTGTGTTTATCCAGCTGCTTTACTCACATGTGGAGAATGTGAAGCGAGTGTCTGCGGGTGTCTTGTGTGAGCTGGCTCTGGACAAACAATCCGCAGAAGTCATTGATGCAGAAGGAGCATCAGCACCGCTCATGGAGCTGCTGCACTCCAACAACGAGGGAATTGGTACGTGATGTCTCTAACAGATAGATATTGCCCAATATTGTATGTGCTGTTATGTATATGCAAATACACACTAATGTTTGGCAATACCTAGTATGAACTGGGGGATATTCTTAGTACGTCACTAAACAGATCAAAGATCAAACTGATGAATTTTGTAATGTCAGCTAAGGATATCCAGATAATTCGGTTTTTCAACCCCTACACCAGTGTTGTGGATTAGAAAAGCTGAAATCAATCCTCTGAGGTAAGTGCATGCACACAGTTGAAACCATGATCTGCTGGTTTCTAATTGGCTACACACAGATGTCTAAGGAGAGTGTGCACAGTCTGTCACTCCAGCAGAGCGAGGCCTTCTGCTGGAGAACTACAAGGAATTTAAGGATTTACGGTAATTTAAACATAAGGTAAACTCCACAAAAGTGGCGAAACGTGGAAAATTAATTTCATAGGTATCCCACTTCAGTCCTTAATGTTGCCCTGACTGCATGCCCATTGCTTTGACATGATGAAATAGAAATGGGATGTCAGTTTATTCAAATTCAAATGTATTTGTATAACACCAAATCACAACAAAAGTAATCTCAGGACACTTTACAAAGTAAGGTACTGTATAGACCTTACAATTATCACTATTATTATAGAGGAAAACCCAACAAATACCCCTTGAGCAAGTATGTGGCGACAGTGGGGAGGAAAAACTCTCTTTAACGGAAGAAACCTTCGACAGACCCCGGTTCTTGGTGGGCGCCCTTCTGCCTCGACTGATTGGAGTGAGTGGATAGAGGAGAGAGAAAAGAAGAAAAGCAACAGGACACAACAACAAACAATCAAGCACTGGGCAGGTTGATGTGGCTGGTGACTGCTCATCAGAAATGTAGAGCTCCAGAGCCAGGGCTACCTGCAGAAAGGTACAGGGAGAGAGAGAGGACACACTACAGGAGAGAGGTGACACACAGTGATGCGTAATGGTGGCATATAGATGCATGCAAAGGAGAGGAGAGGGGAAGGGAGGGGAAAAACTCAGAGCATCAAGGGGCCCCCCAGCACCCTGGGCCTATATTCATGGTAAAAGTGGAGATGGTCTCCAGGTCATGGAGGACAAGGCCTGGGCAAATGAACTGAATCTGTTTCTCAATAGATTTGACTCTACCCAGTCCTCAGCCCCCACCCTGCCAGCCCACCTGACTTACTTCTCCAGGTCAGTTGTCTCCTCGCAGCTGCAGCTGCTCACACCTCAGCTAGACCTTGCCCCTCCTCCCACTGTCACTGGGGTTTCTCAATATCCCACAGCTCCTGAGCAGTCACCGCCCACCAGCCCCCTCCGCCTCACGGCAGACCAGGTCAGGAAGGAGTTAAGGAGGATTAAGGCCGCAGGACCTAACCACATCAGCCCCAGGGTCCTCAGGTAGTGTGCAGACCAGCTCGGTGACGTGGTCCTGTACATGATTAGCCTGAGTCTTAGCCTGGAGAGAGTCCCAGCCCTATGGAAGACATCCTGTGTTGTCCCGGTTCCCAAAATACCTCATCCTAAGGAGCCGAACCATTACAGACCCGTTGCCCTGACCTCCCACCTGATGAAGACCATGGAGAGGATTGTCTTCGGCCACCTCTGTGCCCAGGTGAGCTCAGCGCTCGACCCGCTGTAGTTTGCATAACGTCCTGGCAACGGGGTTGATGACGCCATTATCTATTATCTACATGCTGCATTGAGCCCTATCTCACCTGGAGTCAGCCGGAAGCATGGTGGGGGTCATGTTCTTTGACATTTCCAGTGCTTTCTCTGATGACACCGCTATTGTTGGATGTATATCGGGGGG